AAAACGTGTGTCTTTAATTTTGTAATTTGAATTTTTTTCAATTTTCGAAAAATTGGGGGTTTTAACAAAAATGAGACTTACACTACTGTTTAAAAGTTTTTCGAACTTTCCAACTAAAAAATTTAATAAAAAAATTGTAGCTTTTTTTTAGAAAAATTGAATATTTCCGAGGGGCTTCATGTAAAAATTAAAACATCGGTTTTAATTTCTGCGAAATTCAACTCAACGGTTTATACGATAGCGTTGTGCCCAGACACACTGATGGACAGACAGACGTTTCGTCGGCGATCGATTTTTCGAATACGTATGTTAAGCAATTAGCAATTACTAAAATGCCAACTAGGAATTCGCCACAAAGAGGCCCTAGAGGGTATAATCCACGCACGTTTTCTTGTGACATAGCTTCCCTAGTTGCGAGAGCAACGAGGCGTTTGGTTATTTTGAATTTTATGTCGAATTTGTAGTTCGTTTTTGAGTCAAAATAGTTTTTATTACACGGGAGCGAGCATGTCTAGTTATCAGATTTTGTGTACAACGTTCGCTGCTATAATTTATTCTTAATCCAACTAATGTTGGCAAGGAGTGGGGGTACGTATTCCAGAGATCAAGAAAATGTGTGCGTGACTAATACGCACATCGGTACTGCCCCAACCCGCGATGACTCCAACCTCCCCCTCTTCCACAGGCGTTCCCTCATCAGGCAGGTCCACTGGCTGCGACGTCGGGGAAATCTTGATGGACCCGTTAAGCTCCAGCAGCGCTATGTCGTAATCAAAGTGTTCTCCGGGGTTGTACTTCGGGTGGGTGATGACTTCTTTTACTTCGAACACAGTTCCACCGCTTTGCCTTTCGGTGGAACCCACTCGCACTGTATACGTTGCGGACAATCTGCACAAAACATAAACACATCCAAGATAGAGAGAGCGAGCTCTTTCTTTTCGGAAGTCGGTTGCTGCACAACCATTTGCTCACTTGTTGTCCAGCGAGAGTTTCTTTACCACTTAATGGCTATATAATATTATAACATGACAATTCCGTCATATACTTCAAATATTTTTTTTTAATTCAATCGTTTAAACAGATTAAGCTTTCTAGATTTATTGAGTCAAAAAAAAACCAGTAAAACCTGTATGTGACGTAGGGGAAAAAATATAATCTAAAAGTTTAACATTAATAAATAAAAATAAATGTTGAAAATCGCAAGATTTGATATTTGAAAACTACTAATTTTTGTTTCTAAGTTATAGAAAACTTATTTTCATTGGTACACGAATTGCAAGTATGCTTTTTTGCATTGCTAACAAAATAGCAACTCGCCCTTACCTCTACTCTTACCATTTCAATCAAAAGGAGACTTCAACACAACGTGTGCATAGTGAAGCTACATTTACGCCCAGAAGCAAAACAAAGGGGCCATCTCAGCATTTGCTCAATGGATTAGGGAAACTGGACAAAAACCTGATAGAGATGGGGTCATTGACCCGGAAGCTTAAGTACATTATTAATTACGAACAGTCTTTCAAAAAATATACAATAAAAATATAAACGTATTCATTATATATCACTGTTTTGTTGCAATAAACATTCTCTTTCTTTTTGATAAACAGTTTAGTCTCTAATTGTATAAAAACAGTTATGCAGCAGAAAAGATTTTAGTTTTAACTTAAATTTGTGAACCGAATTCAATTGTTTAATGCCATCTGGCAGTGCGTTGTAAAGTAACGTACATGTATTGTATGTGGATATCTGATAGTAAGCTATTGATACTGACACTGGATGAATAAGATTATTTTGGTGTGTTGTAATTATAAATTGGATATCAGTATTGCTTAAAAATATATTCCCACCGTTAAGTAAGTCGCTTTTGACAAATATTACAGATTCATAAATGTATAGGCAAGGCAGGGGTAAAATTCCAAAAGAGGCTTGCAAGGGTAACGCGGATGGCATTTTTTAAATTATTCGAATATTTTCTTTTGTAATCTGAAGGTCTGAGTACTACATGATGAGTTTCCCCAGAATTTTATACCATATCATAGGCGGGAATGTACATTTGCAAAATACACAGACAGTTTTTCCTTCATTAACTATTAATTTGTTATTTCAAAACCAATTTGAAACTTCTAAAATCGTTCCATTTATTGTTTGTTTTTTGCAAAGAACATTCGTGTCATTGGCAAACAGAACTGTTCTTCCGTTTTTAATAGACGACGGCATATCGTTTACGTATAACAGAGAGGATAGGACCTAAGATCAAGCCTTGCGGAACCCGATATTCAATTGGTAAATTGGAAAGATAAGTAAATAATGTCCTTTGTTGCCCATACGGTATTTATACTCTTTGAGATTGATGTTTAAGGTACGAAGTTATGCAATATAAGGCGATACCACAAATTCCACAAGAAGGTAATTATGGTAGCAAGATGTTATGGTCAATATCGTCAAAAGCTTTCGAAAGATCTAAAAATATTCCAATGGGTGCTTCATTTTGGACCATTAATGCAGCAACATCTTTAAGAAATGAAAAAATGCATTACTTTACTAGCGTTTAAAATATCATGATTATTTTTCATTATTTTGGCCTGAACTATTACTTTTCTTAAGATTCTTTTGTATTCTCGGAAGTAGACTTGGAAACCGAATGTTTAGAAATAAAGTAAAGCGTACGTATGTTTTTACACGATGTTCTCATTCCTTGTGTGATCCAAGTATAATTTTTCCGTGAAATATTTAATTTTTTCTTTTTGAGAGGAAAGCATGCGTTAAAGTGAAATGAAAGTTTTGAGAAAAATAGTTTATATTTGTTATTTGTGTCAACAGCGTTATAAGCTGTGTCCCATGTTTCATTCAGCAAGTAGTCCGTAAATAATTTTATGTTAACTGTAGTGAATGCTCTGCACATGCGTGATTAATTTGTGTCAGTCGACATTGTATTTCTGCCATTGTATTTAGTGTATTCTCGTTTTATATAAATGTACCAACGATGCGTGATCGTATTTCAGCCGAAAATCAAATTATGCTTTTGCAAGTCGTGAATTTGAAAGACGTAACACGACAATTCTTGAGAGAATTCTATTTCGTATGCGCAGGCACCCAAAGACGCGATTTCGATTGACAGTTCCGTCATTTTCCCTTTTTTGTCGCCTACGACGAATTTGTTAACAGTTTACACTTTCTATACACGATATCGACCCTAATACAGAATAATCAGGGACGAGTTTTCCTACAGGGTAACCAGGCTTCAACCTAGGACCTCAAGATCATGACTGTTTTATTTATTATCACAGTAATGATGTATTTTATTATCTCTCATGTAATTTTAAAAAAACTTAGAAATGGGAAGTGAAAGGCCTCATACGTGGAATAGCATAAGACCTTTTTCAAATAAATCCTGCTCATATGATAATCATGGAAAAAATACTGACACATATATTTTTCGAAAAATTATAATTAGTAGTTGAGATCGGACCTACGCCACTTCAAATAGTATATTTCTCTATTTTTTAGAAGAAATTTAAAGAAATAATGTTGCTAAAACAACACATATTTTGTTTCCCTCAGTAACAGTTACTTAATATTATAGAGGGTAGAAATATTGGAAAGCAGCGCGGTTGCCAGATATGTTGTGAGCGCAGTGTTGCCAGATGTGTTTAGAGGGATTCCGCAATGTTCGTTTCAGTTTCTACCGAAAATCGGCTGAACTGGTTAAAAATTTTCTGCCTTAATCCGCTTAACGTAAAATAAATTATTTTTACGTATTTTAAAATGTATTAATGTATTATATTAAAACAAAAGAATGAATACAAAATATAGTGGCTTTATTGAACCTGCAATTCAATTTTTAGTTAATATAGAATGCATTACTTGAGTGAAAATTTGCAAAATAATAATAATTGATTTCAGGTTTTATTAATTTTTTATATAAGTATTATATTATTTATTCTTGCTAGTAACATGGAATTAGAAATTTTAAAAATATACAACATCTGTGCCAAACAACCTAATTAAGGTTAACGAAAACTGATAACTCATCTATCATAACTGTATGAGATTCAAAGATCTTCTTCACTCTCTGGACTTCTGAAAAAATCGGATTTATTGCCAGCAGATAAGCAAGGTTCAACTCATTTTGGTACAGGCTATACAAAGTATCATCAGCGAAACATTTATCTTTGCTTCGTGCCATATCAAAATGAGTTTTTAACACTATTAATTGATTCTATACTTGCTTAACGGCTAGTTCTATCGAAAGCCATCTTGTGCCAGATATGTGTGGATTTTTTCGCGGTTTTTCTCCATCGTTAATCAGCTGATACAATTGCCGATATGCTGACTGTCTTAAAGCCGATTTGGGGGACCAATTGTAAGTCTCTGATATTTAATATTCCAAGTGGCGTGGCAACGTATTAGACACAGCGTGAGACACCGCAAGTTGTAATGTGTTACAAATACATCGAATTAAAATAAAGTCCAGGACAATTTCTTTCAATTTCGCATAAACTCCATTGTTAACTCTTACCATAACACACGCATAATCGGAGCCTATACCCCTTCATTGTTTCATATCTAAACCCTTCAACTCTTCCGTCTGTTGAACAGCCTCAACGATAGCATTTGAATTTCATTCTTTAGGTTTACAAGTTTTAAAAATGTGGACACTATGTGGCCGTGTCTTTCACAAAAATCAATAATTGACATACCGAGAAATTTTTTAGTGGAAATTTCGTTCGATTCGTCTAAAATTAGAATAAACGGCCTATTCACAATTTCAGCTTACAATTCTTGATCAAAGTGATGACTAAGAACATTTTTTATACCAGCCGCACATTTTTTGCGATGTTTTTGAACATTCGATGCAGTTTTACTATCACAAATAACGTCTTTATAAATATTAGTTAAATGATCACAAGTCGCAGTCGCAGAATGCGTTGCAACGAACAATGGAGTAGTGTCCTCCAGTTTCACCTTATCGGAACTTTTTGTCGAGAAGGGTAGAGTCTTCTGCCTTTGCGATGAAAATGGTTCACTTGCAGTGACATGCTTTTTTGATTTTGCATGATCTACTAGATCACTGTGCTTGGCCGAAAAATCGCGTTCGCAAAACCTACTTGGAAAAGAAGAACTATTAACATGTTTTGATAATATTTTAGTTTATTTCAATAAATCGATCATTTTGAAATCATAAAATCAACTATTTACACGCAGATAAACGATTTGTTTGATTGATAAACAAATTCTGTTAAATTAATTTGGTCAAATTCTGTAAATTTTTTGTTAATTCAACCAAAATATTTTATTAAACTAAAAAAATAAGTTTAAAAAGTTTTATCGAATTAATCTAATGTTTATTTTGTTTTGTTGGATAAGTTTTTGGTTACGTTGACTAAGCTTCCGGATTGTTGATTTTTTTGACAAAAAAAGTTTCTACAAAGGATCTACAAATCTACAACCTACAATTAAGGTATATTTTTATGGTGATTACCAAAAAGTTTTGAGGCTTAAATAAAAATAAAATTATTTTGTTGAATCAACAAACCACTTAATTGCAGAATTATTAATAAATCTAATCTAATCTAAACCGATTGCAGCTGATTACATTGCGGCGTTTTATATGTGAAGTACATTTCATGGTTTAGACATAATTAAACTGAGGTTATGAGAAATTTATTGCGAAGTCCCAGTAATCAAACCAAACTTCTTTCAAACCCAATTCAAATGATGTACTGCAGAAGTAAATTTTTACTTACTCGTAAAAACAATGCGCTGCAGTCAAAATATAGTTTTCGCTAATGATGGAGCCTCCACACAAATGTTTTCCTTTCTTCGCTATTGACGCCTGCAAATAGACAAAAAAATGTTATGTGAGTTAATATCAATACTTCCTAAAA